GAGACTTGGAGAGTACCACCAGCAGGAAGGGAGCTTCTGGGAGCCTGTGGGGGATGCAGTGGCCTCTGGCTCGGACTCTGAGCCAGAGAACAGGGAGGCTGGGTGGTTATCTGACTTCCCAGGGAGATGGGGCTCTGGGATCTGCAAAGCTGGGGGACCGGGGCAGTGAAGCTGGAGAGGCAGTGTTTGTTGCTCCTCCCATTCAAGGATCCCAACCACGTGGGGGTGAGGGTGGCTCAGCTCACCTGAGGGGCCCCATTGGGCCTCGAGGGGCCTGTGCTCCTCTGTGGGGTTCCAACCTAGGCTGTGGGTGCTGGTGCCAGCAGGATGCAGGGATAGTGGCTGGGCAGAGGCTGCGCGCTGTCTCAGCTAGTGAGCTTATATTCTGCCTGGTACCAGAACCAAACTCATAGTCAGGTGTGCCTGTAATCTCAGCACTTAGGAAGCTGAGGCAGGAGGATCTCCTGAAACACCACCCTGGACAACATAGTGAATTCAAAGCCTGCTTGGACTACATAGTATGACCCTGTCTCAACTAAAACAAAACAAAACCCACAAGTTGGGGATGGTGGTTCAAGCTTGAGATCCAGACTTTGGGAGCCTGAGGCAGGAGAATCTTCAGAACTTCAAGGCCAGCCTGGGCTATATAGGGAGACCTTGTCTCAAAAAACAAAAATAGGGGGCCAGGCAGATGGCTTAGTAGAATAAGCGCTTGTCTGGCAAGAGCAAGGGCCTGAGTTCAATCCCCAGTTCTGCAAAAAAAAGAAAAGAAAAAAAAGGAGGGTAGTAAGATAGCTCAGAGGACTAAATGCCCCCTTAGGCAAGCACGGGGACTGGGGTTCGATTCTGGCACCACATGCTCCACAGGTCCCACCCCCAGGCATGCTCCACTGGCCACCGAGGCTGGGTGTGGTGGCGCATGCCTGTGATCCCACTGCTGGGGAGGCCGAAAACAGGAGGCTTACTATGAGTCTGAACTATGCAGTGAGACCCTGTAACAAATACAAACAAACAAACAAAACCCCCAAAATCACATCCCGCTCCCTACTGGGGTTTCTGCTACAGTTATTCTCGCAGCCTGGGGGCTGGATGTTCAACCATGTCCTGATGCGCGGGGTTGGGGAAAGGCTTCCTGGCCTGCACATGGTCACCTTCTCAACATGCCCTCAAAGCCAGGGTTCCACTGGTCTTTTTTAAAAAATTTTTTGGCAGAACCAGGGACTGAACTCAGGCCCTTGCATTTGCCAGGGAAGCACTTACTCCACTGAGCCATCTCCCTAGCCCCTCCGCTGGTCTTTTTAAGTAGGATACTAATCCCACGATGTCCCTCCTGTGACCTCCCATGGCCCTGATCTAGCACATACATTTTTGGGGTCTCAAATACTCCATCCGTAGTTGGGATTCCACTGCAGGCTGGGCCACCCCACACGAAGGGGTTCTGTGGCCCTGGCCTCCCAGGCATTGGGCAGGCAGCCTCCTCCCCACTGCTAGGAGGTGGGACCAGGAGGTGGCCCCTGGGAAGCACTTGCTCCTTGTCTCATCCTGGCAGGGAGCCCATGGGGCAGCAGGGACACAGGGCTGAGGAAGCGCAGGCCCCTCTGTGTGCCTAGCTGGGGTCATGTTTACCCTCAGAGGGCCAGTGCCAGGCCCCCACCCGGCCGTGTGGCCCAAGTTAACTAGACTCCAGGATAAATACCCATTCAGCCACACAAGGCCCCTTTGTCCTGCAGAGAGGCTCTGGCCCAGGACACTGCCGGGCGGCCAGTGTCCTCAGCGCGGCCCCAGGCCCAGCCGGCTGCCCCGACACGTCCAGCCGCCCCATGGGGCCTGCTCTGGGCAAATGCTACTTGTCTTTGAGAGGCCCTAGTGGGGAAGGGGGCCTGGGAGATCATGGAGGAGCCAAGAGGAGGCCTGGCTGCCTCCTCAGGCCTCTTTGGAGCAGCCCCAGAGCTTGCAGTGGGGCTGCCCTGCCCAGCCAATGGGGCAGGCACTGTGGGCAGGGAAGGGCCAACAGTGGGCAGCCTGCAGGTGAAGGGAACGGTCACGCTGTCCAGCCTCTGGAGGCCCCCAGCAGCCAGGCCTTTCCTGGAGGGTGTGTGGGTGCAGTGGGGGGCCAGCAGGGAAGGGTGGGTGGTCTCAGGGGGGAAGCCAGGAGGTCCTGTGCATCTGGAAGGGTAAAGACAGATTGCAGGGCTGGGACCCAGGTACAGTGGCCTGAGGCCCAAGGCAGGGTGGCTGTCCCAGCAATGTGGGAATGGCCACATGGCCTCAAGGTGAGCCAAATTCCCTCCCCTAGGGTACTGTGGACACTCCTGGTGGGCCTGAGCCCTGGGATGGGGGATCCTGAGTCACACTTCCAAATCCCATCTAGGTCTTAGCTCCCTGATAGTCCACAGGCTCCTTGGAGTACCTCAGTAATCCTGTCTGTGGTCGGCAGCGCCCTCTGGTGGTCACCGTGTCTCAGGCAGCCGGGGAGCAGGTTCAAGGCTTCTGGAAGGGCCTGGCCTGGCTGGAGCCTTGGGGCTGGGGCTGACCAGCTGACCTGGGCGGGACAGGACTGCCTGAGGGAAAGTAGCACTTGCTCCAAGATCTGCCCGCTTCTGGGACACGGACACGGCTGGGCTCTAGGAAGGTGTGCCCTGTGCCCAAGGCTTCTGGGACGTCCTTGCCTGTTCAGAGGGGATCATAGGGCTCACCCCATGAGATTCCTGGGCCTGCTGACTTGAGACACTGTCCATCTAGGGTTCTGCATCTGTCCTGTCAAGCAACTGAGGTGGCTTAGTGCTGTCCCTCCCTAGGTCTCTGAGACGGGTGGGTTGGGGAGGACCCTGGCCTTCCCTCTGAGATAAGCTTCTTCCTCAGGGAAACATGTCTGACCCATGCTCCTTGCCACCTGCAGGATAGTGGCTGCACAGGCTGGCAGCCACCAGTGTCACACTACAGACACTGCCACCCAGGGAAGGCTGCCAGCTCACACCAAACTCACTGCTGAGCTTAATTGAATGGCCATCCTCTGGGAACATCTGGGTCTGTGCGGCTCATCCAGGGTCCCACTCTATCCCCAAACCAGGTGGCCAGCTGTACCCCAGGCAAATGGCAGGACCGAACCTCATCCTCAGGCCAGTGCAGCAAGGGGTGGTGGGGTGGCTGTGCCTGGGCCCACAGCTGGGACCCTCATTAAGCAAGACAAGATGGCTTTGGAGTCTGAGCTTAAGGCAAACTTTATTTAGTCTTTTAAAGACAATCTAGTTTAAGACAGACAGACAGACAGACAGACAGACAGACAGACAGACAGACAGCAGGGACCACTGTGAACATGGTGCCAGTTAGATCTTTTCCATCTTGGAGATAAGGTCATCACAGATCCGCGTCAACTCATCGTTCTCCTTGCTCTGAGGAGAAAGGGGGCAGGGCGGGGGCTGGATCTCTGTGGGAGCTTTGAGGAAAGGTAAGTGGCAAGGGAGGGCAGCCAGGCCACACTCACCTTCTGCTCCACTGCCTTCTCCAGAGAGTGGATCTGCATCTGTGCCTTCCTTAGGGTGGCCTGGAAGGCCAGTGCCTCTGCCTGGGCCTTGTTGCGGACCTGGGTAATCTCCTCGTTTGCCCTGTAGGACAGAGGAAGAGGGCAAGGGGCAGAGACTGAGCAGAAGCCAAGCCTGGCCCACCTCCGTTGGCCACGCCGGCACTCACAGCCTAAGCTTCTCTTCTGCGTGGGCCTTTAGCGCCTGGTACCGCTGGGCCTCCTTCTCTACCCTGGTGATATAGTCCTCCACGCACTTCTTCAGTGACTCCTCGTTCTGTGGGAGCAGCAGACAGGACTCGTGAGCAGTGCAAGTTTCCCTGAGAGCATCTAGGACAGTGTGTGGAGCCCAGGGCCATGCAGATCCATGGGGCTTTGGGGCACAAGCACTGACCAAGGACTTCAGCAAAGGTCTGCCTTCCCTGGGGGTTGGGACTTTTGCCTATGGCCTGGCTTGGGCCTCTCAGCTGCACAGCCCTTGCACACCTCCTGGGCTGGACTGACAGGCTGCAGAGGGCTCATGGCTTGGGAGGGCTGGGCTAGCAGCCAACAGTCTTTTTTTTTTTTTTTGGTGGAACCGGGGATTGAACTCAGGCCCTTGCGCTTGCCAGGGAAGTGCTTATTCCACTGAGGCATCTCCCCGGCCCAGCCAACAGTCTTGTGCCCTGACCTCTCCTGCAGGGCCAGGCCCCAGGCTCATAGCCCAGTTGCTCTTGGTCATCTCCCATGCCACGCTCTGCTGTCCTGGACCTGCCTGCTTCCCCCCCCCCCCCCCC